TATTGAAAAGTTTACTTTTCCGTGATGACGTTTCCCCTGAGACAATAAGGAAATGATAAAAAGGACAATCTCCAGCTTGGCTTAAGGTTACGAAGGTTCGCCCCTGGCAGCTTCCTTGAACCCGGATTCTGAAGCCCGGCAGACCCTTATTAAAAAGCCATTGACCTTTATCAAAGATGGCCCACAGTTGGGCATTAAGGATATATGGCTTCCAGGTGGCAAGCGAATGTCCTCAAAGGACGAGTGACTGGCAGTGATTTTAATTACGCGAATGCAATAAGCGTGCGATGCAATCGTGTGCCTGGGGCAGCCACAAAATCAGTCAATCTGACGGTCGATCAATAATTCAATTGACCCGGCTGGCTCAAGAAAGAGGCAAATTAATTAAAAAAGCAACAATCAGCCCGAAAAGGCAAATAATTTCGGTAGAGAGGAGTTGGTTAAAGCTTTTGGCGGCTCTTGCTTTCCAATTAAATTGATGAGTGGCCAGGGCCGAGGGATAACATTTATCAGCGGCAGTCCAGAAGGACAGACAATAGGAGCTTAAGAAGGACCAAGGATTTCAAAGGACTGCAGCAGACGGACAAAGAGTGAGTGTTATGTAAATGACGCTATAGAAAAGAAGAACAATGGCTGGAGAAATGGGAAAAAAGGCGGGACCGGAAGACTAAAGTCAGATAAGCAAATGACAAACAGCAGGGGAAGGAAGTCAAAGGACCAACACGCAGGACTTCTTATCAAGGTGCCTTTTATAACAATTTTTCGAATTTCCTAAATGCTTACCTTTGTAAAAGTCAATCAAATAAAAACAATGCACATTTATGGACCCCAAAAGTGTGAAACTTTTTTGCGTATATTCAGATGTAGTATATATCAATGCATCAAAATGACACTGCAGCTTTTTATGCAAATTTTATAATTTGAATTTTCCCGTATTTATCTACATGAAATTCCGCCCTGCTTAGCAAACAGAAAAACGAATTTAAAAGTGCACTTAATGAGCATTCCTTTGCAATTTCCTACCATTCTTGTCTCCGACCAACTCTCTCGTTGTCCAGAAAACTTTATTTCTCTATTTTATCATCATAATTTCGGTGCCAAAAAGTTTTCTGCGCTGAAAACTTGATGGGCGAAAGCCAAGAAACTGGCTGAAACAAGAGAGGTATATGTATATATAGAGCATCGTTTTCATTAAAACTTCTGACACACCGAATTTGTTGATGTGCCCCGCATTCGGGAGCTCCTTCTTTCGCATTCAGGGAAACAAACATCACGACCCTTGGAAGCTGCAAGCTGCAAGCTGCAAGCTGCAATTTGAAATCGCAACAGCCAGAGTTGTTACAGCAAATGGCAAAAAGTCTCGTGTCCCACTACTTCATCTTTATGGTTTTATTAATTGTTTTTGCTCTAGGCTGCTGCTGCTGCTGCTACTGCTGTTTGGCACTTGTAACTTGTTTGTGCTCCGAATTTAGTTTTTAGTTTATAATGCTAGCTGGCTCGCCCCCACAAAAAAAAGGAAAAAATAGTACAACATGAGAAACAGAAAGCTAAAGCAGCAACACGAACAAGTGCGAAATGTTTGGCAACACTCTCGACGAGTTATGTTTCAAATGTTTGGAGGCGGACGAAAGTTCGTGGGGTTGAAAGTTCGTGTTGGATGAAGCAAAGCGTAACAAGGTTCAGGTTGAAGGGTTACCAAGGCATTTCATTTCAATTGTATAGGTGGAACACGGGAACAACAATTTCACTTGGCGCGCAATGCGTTTGATATATGAACCAATTTAGGGTCGCAAATAAGGCACTTTAGAATGACGTAATAGGAAATAGCTCAAGATTGTTCTAAGATATTTTTGGTGCTCAGAATGCAGTTGCCCAGCAACATAAGATGGTTAATAAATTAATAAGAATTTATTATTTATATTGTTAAAACGTTCAAAGAAGGCGCTTAAATTGATGCTACGCTTTCCCCACTAAGAGCAATTTCTTTGCCCAACTACTTGTTCATTTTTCATTTCCCATTTCGCAGCAATCAAGTTGGCAATTAATAAAGGTAAGTAAGGCAGAACGTCTAGAATTCATTTCCACTTCCGCCGGGCGCTCATCTCATTACAGTTTTACAGCCGTTTCGGGCGTCATCTAATTATGCAAAACGGCACATTTCATTTGCAGAGAGTCGGCGGTGTCTGTTCGCATTCAGGTTGGCCTTAAGTTGGATTCATTTTAACAATGCCATTTAAAATTAATTTTCAATTAACTTTCGCGGGGCCACCCCAGTCCGGCCGGCCATCTGCCGCGTTTCGCCGGAGCGGAGACTTTCGGGCTCGTCCATTTCAACTAGTTGGGAGTGCTAACAAAAGTTTTGTGTGCCCGCCTTCATAAATTGAATTTTCCGCTTTTTGTTTCTGCCAATTAAGCCGATGGTCGAAAGAGTACGGCCGCCATTGTGAGTGATACTAATTTCCACCGACCCAATGGCGGATGCTACTTAAGTCGCCATCCACCCAATCCCCGATTTCTGCCGCCCATTCGTTCGATCCGCCAAAAAGGGAGTTGCACAATGGGAATCGCCACAGTTGAGCTCTTCGTGGCTGGGGCTTTCTACGTCAGCCACCTGCGTGTCGGTCCTCGTTTCTCAATTGAAAACACAAATGCCGGGATCCATTTGGGGCTCAAACAGCGGGAGCAGGACTTAACCCTTGGCAGCCGCAAAAATAACTGTTTGGCATGCATTTTACTTTCAAATGCCCGCAACGGATGGCGAATGCTTCCCACGCTTGTGCTATACACTTAAAGAAAGAGAGAGAGAGGGAGAGATACCTACTCACAAATTATAATTAAAAAAAATCAGAAGAATTCACTAAGAACTCAATTAAAAGAGAACGCCAACACTCGAAAGGAATGCACGGGAATTCCGCATAAACCACATATTTTATAGTCTACCTTTAGACAACTTCAAAAGCGTTTTCATGGAGCCAAATTGATTTATGTGCCGCCCTAAAAAAGGCAAATGATTTCTGCGTGTGCAGTTTACAGCAAGCAACTGTAAATCCATACTTAGAGGCACTTATACTCCCGTGCCAACAGCTATCCACCAACTGCCTTGTTTTATCGCAAACGATGCCATTACAAGGCGATTTGAGCTCCATTTGTGCAGGCCATTCCCATTGCCAGGATTACTTGACAGTCACTTAGCGGGCTCGCGTCTGTGCCGGGAAGTAGTGGAGTGTAGAAATCGGAGTAGCCGGAGGTGTGTGTATCAAAGTAGCAGTTGAAAGTACACGCTCGAAATGCTTTCAGATTAAACTTGTCCGGTGGCAACACCTGTGCCCGCATTTCAAACCCCCATTTCCCACATTTCCCCCATCCCAATCCCGATGTTTTCCCATTGACTGACAGGCAACCAAGCTTAGCTGGAAAGCACGGCTGCAGAGAATGCAAAAGGGAGAAAGCACAGATTTGAGCAGTAGAAACTTTGTCCAGCAGTGCTCTACCATATCAACTGATATGGCTACGCCAGGGCCAAGTGCTTCTTTCCATAACGAAAAACTTCTCTCCAGCGCCACAAACTTTTAATAGTCTCACATTTGAGCGCTCTAATCATATGCTAAACTGGCTAACGAGTCTCACCGGATATTGCTTTAGGTGTTTGCCCAGAACTTCTTTGACAAATGAAGCGGGAGAAGCTGGTTGGTATTAGTTACGGGTACTAGTAATTCAGCTATCTCACTATCAGCTATTCTCTATTGCGTTGGAAAGTAACACCATTGAGTGCTGGGTTATGTGGGATTCAAAAGATTTAATACTTAGCAAAAAGCTGGTCTTACCTTGCCCAAATTGACGAAACCGTGATCCTTGGCCACCGCATCGGCCATGCCATTATCGCCGTTCGGTATGTGCACCGCCCAGGTGTGGGTATAGTGTCCGACGACTTGGTTGTTATTGCTTCCGGAACTGCCCGACTGGGCGAACTTGCCACTGTTCGGCGTTAGCTTGGCCCTGCCCCCCGTCTCATAGTCGAGGACGTAGGGCGGCAGCACTGGCGACTGGCCATTTGGATCCACTTTGAGTGGCGACGATGGTGGTGGGGGCGGTGGTGCAGCAGCTGTGGGCGGGGATGAGGGCGCTGATGATGGTGCCGCCGGCGATGTGACGCCTGCCGATGATGCCGCCGTTGCCACACTTCCGGCCACGAAACCGACATTAAAATTACATAAAAAAACTACGGCACTAAATTGCAGAGCTAACAGCAACACCGCTTTCGTTTTCGACAAGGGTCCGCTTCTGTTGCTCTTGCTTTTGCTGCTGCTCTTGCCACTAAGTTTCGGTTTGTGTTGCGTTAAAAAACTAGTTTTGAATAAATTGCAATCGAAATTGAAATTTCCTATATCACATTCAATGATTGTTTGTTGTTCATCTTCTAGCTGCGTTGCGGCGGCGGATCTCTGCTGACAACTTCTTGCCGCATGTGGCCCTAATTGTCGAGCATTTAATTTGTTGCTTTTACTTTTGTGCTTGTGAGTGCTACTGCTGTTGCTGCCGCTTCTACTGCTGCTGCTGCTGCTGCTGCATCTACTTCTGCTGCTGTTGTTGTTGTTAGTGTTGTTGGTGTTGCTAGTTGGCTGCCTGCTCCATCGCACGACGTCGTTTTTCATTGTGCGTGAGGGTTTCTCCAATGGTTTCTGGGCGCGCTGCTCGGGATATTGGATTTTATGGGCTCAACGTGCGGCTGAGATGCTGTAAAAAAACAACGCTTTTTTAAGTAAATTATTAAAATTTTGTTTAATTAAAGTTAAAGTTTTTTAGAATTTGTCTAATAAAAGTTTTAGTTAAAACAACCACGTTTTCGTTTTACGCCCAAGGAAATGAAACAACTTTGAAATCATTTTTTCGATTACCTTTTATAAGGTCTTGCTTTTTCTTAAGTGCATAATCAAATAGTGCTGTTATAATTAATTCAAATTTCAATCCATAAATTCTTGTCACAGCAGGGGAATTTTCACTTATGACTGAACACAGCTGGTGTTTTCGGGGAGATCGCAAATGCCCTTCAGTCCATTGAAGTACCTGTCACCACAGCTGACCTTCAGGGCACGCTGGTGCCGACAGATATAGTAGTCGTTGCATCGCTCGGGAGATGCCATCAGGAATCCGTCGGGTTTGCCCAAGCACGAAACCTTAATCTGAGCCTCCGAACTAGGGGACGACAGACCGGCCCATTCGGCCGCTTCCCAAAGTAGGCGATGGACGGGGTTTCGGCGGACGGGATTTTGCTTCGATTGGGTGGCAGCCACCGCCTTTAATTTAGTGGGGCAAATAGTTGTCGGAGCGGTTTCTGGGCATTTTGTAGTGGTAGTAGGACTAGTTTTGCAAGTTGTAGTCGTAGTGGTTGTTGTTGTAGTAGTTGTGGTCTTTGTGGTTGTTGTGGTGGTAGTTGTTGTTTTGGTTGTCGTTGTTGTGGTACAAGTTGTTGTCGTCGTAGTGGTTGTGGTTGTAGTAGTTGTGGTCTTTGTGGTCTTTTCGGTTGTAGTAGTTGTTTTTGTCGTTTTTGTGGTGGTAGTTGTCGGTGTGGTACAAGTTGTTGTCGTCGTAGTGGTTGTGGTTGTAGTAGTTGTGGTCTTTGTGGTCTTTGCGGTTGTAGTAGTTGTTTTTGTCGTTTTTGTGGTGGTAGTTGTCGGTGTGGTACAAGTTGTTGTCGTCGTAGTGGTTGTAGTAGTTGTGGTGGTTGTGGTTGTCGTGGTCGTGGTCGTCGTTGTTGTTGTTGTTGTGGTACAAGTTGTTGTCGTAGTTGTGGTGGTTGTAGTAGTCGTGGTCGTCGTAGTTGTGGTTGTCGTTGTTGTGGTCGTCGTAGTAGTTGTGCAAGTTGTAGTCGTAGTGGTTGTTGTTGTAGTGGTTGTGGTTGTAGTGGTTGTTGTGGTGGTAGTTGTTGTTGTGGTTGTCGTTGTTGTGGTACAAGTTGTTGTCGTAGTTGTGGTGGTTGTAGTAGTCGTGGTCGTCGTAGTTGTGGTTGTCGTTGTTGTGGTCGTCGTAGTAGTTGTGCAAGTTGTAGTCGTAGTGGTTGTTGTTGTAGTGGTTGTGGTTGTAGTGGTTGTTGTGGTGGTAGTTGTTGTTGTGGTTGTCGTTGTTGTGGTTGTCGTTGTTGTGGTACAAGTTGTTGTCGTAGTTGTGGTTGTAGTAGTTGTGGTCGTTGTGGTTGTAGTAGTTGTTGTTGTCGTTGTAGTGGTGGTAGTTGTTGTTGTGGTACAAGTTGTTGTCGTCGTAGTGGTTGTAGTAGTTGTTGTTGTCGTTGTAGTGGTGGTAGTTGTTGTTGTGGTACAAGTTGTTGTCGTCGTAGTGGTTGTAGTAGTTGTGGTGGTTGTGGTGGTTGTGGTTGTGGTGGTCGTGGTCGTCGTTGTTGTTGTGGTACAAGTTGTTGTCGTAGTTGTGGTGGTTGTGGTTGTAGTAGTTGTGGTGGTTGTAGTAGTTGTTGTGGTTGTAGTAGTTGTGGTGGTTGTAGTAGTTGTTGTGGTTGTAGTAGTTGTGGTTGTCGTGGTCGTGGTCGTCGTTGTTGTTGTGGTACAAGTTGTTGTCGTAGTTGTGGTGGTTGTGGTTGTGGTCGTAGTAGTTGTGGTGGTTGTGGTTGTAGTAGTTGTTGTTGTCGTTGTCGTGGTCGTCGTTGTTGTTGTGGTACAAGTTGTTGTCGTCGTAGTGGTTGTAGTAGTTGTGGTGGTTGTGGTGGTTGTGGTTGTTGTTGTAGTAGTTGTTGTGGTTGTAGTAGTTGTGGTGGTTGTAGTGGTTGTGGTTGTAGTGGTTGTGGTTGTCGTTGTGGTACAAGTTGTTGTCGTAGTTGTGGTTGTAGTAGTTGTGGTGGTTGTGGTTGTAGTAGTTGTGGTGGTTGTGGTTGTAGTAGTTGTTGTTGTCGTTGTCGTGGTTGTCGTTGTTGTTGTGGTACAAGTTGTTGTCGTCGTAGTGGTTGTAGTAGTTGTGGTGGTTGTGGTTGTTGTAGTAGTTGTTGTGGTTGTAGTAGTGGTTGTGGTTGTAGTGGTTGTGGTTGTAGTGGTTGTGGTTGTCGTTGTCGTGGTCGTCGTTGTTGTTGTGGTACAAGTTGTTGTCGTAGTTGTGGTGGTTGTGGTTGTAGTAGTTGTGGTGGTTGTGGTTGTAGTAGTTGTGGTGGTTGTAGTAGTTGTGGTGGTTGTGGTTGTAGTAGTTGTGGTGGTTGTGGTTGTAGTAGTTGTTGTTGTCGTTGTCGTGGTCGTCGTTGTTGTGGTACAAGTTGTTGTCGTCGTAGTGGTTGTAGTTGTGGTGGTTGTAGTAGTTGTGGTGGTTGTTGTGGTTGTAGTAGTTGTGGTTGTTGTGGTGGTTGTAGTAGTTGTGGTCGTCGTTGTTGTGGTCGTAGTTGTTGTTGGGGTACATGTTGTTGTCTTCGTTGTGGCTGTTGTTGGGCTACAAGTTGTTGTAGTTTTAGTAGTTGCGGCGGTATCACAAGGTGGTGGAGTGGTTGTCGCTCCATTGCAGGGTTGGGCAGTATCACGGACGGATTTCTGGACCTCCGGCTCAACGACAACGCCCTCGACGCAACCAGGGTTATATGTTACGCAGCTGCGGATCTTAAAGTCGTAGAAATTGGCACAGGAGTATTCCTGGGCAACGCCATTTTGGCACTCATAGAACCTGGAGCAACTGCCGGGTACCAGAGCCCGAATACCGTTGGCCTTGTTGCGACACAGAAGGTCGGAAACGCTGGCACCGCTGGTGGTGCTTGCAAAAACTGCAATAAGCAGCAGGGCAAAAGCTGCGGAAACAAAAAAAGGATGCTTTACGGAACCATCTGGCTACGTTGTGGGTGCGTTTACCGTATATATTCCTCATGTCTGCAGTTGGTTTAAGCTTACGTTCTTCAGGCTGAGAAGCTACTGTCATTTAACGCTGATGGCGACACTATTTATACCGTCAAAAAATTTTCAATTTTGCCCAAATTCTCATTAACAAATTGGTTAACGAAATTTCTGCAATACAGTATTATTAGCAAGATCTTTATCTCATTCACTGTTATCAGCTATCAACACACGCGTCTACAATCAAGAATAAAGATTTTTCTCTATATGCTTTTTAAAAACATTACTTCTATTTCGTATTTCTTTGTTGGTAAATCTACCAATTTAAATATAATTTTACCGGTATATTTTTTTGATACAACTTTCTTACAATTTTGTAAAATAGTAAAAAAAAATTTTTTAAATGATTTTAAATTAAATCTTATACCGAAAACCCGAATTTGTTATCAAGCTTATTTATTTTGGAGTAAATATTTTATTTTACATAAATATATAAAAACAAATTAATAGTAAGTACCTTCGTAGCTATTGTAAGCATGGTTAATCGACATCTTGTCAAAATTCTATAGAAAATTACCGCAAATTCCGACAGAAGAGAATATTAGCTCTATTTATACGTTTAATAAAAAATGAACGAAATTATGTTAAAGGTCAAAGTAAAATCTTCTATATTCAGTAGAGCTTCCAGACACACTTCTGTGCTCATGTTATCTATAAAATTTCGGTTGGTTTTTACTTGCAACTACATGCTTTGATAACCGCTAGACGGCTGATATCAAGCAAAATGGTAATTGATAGAGGACACAAGAGTTATTTTTAATTCCTAACGGTAGTGGTATCCAAAAATGATGCGGCGTGAAAATGTAAAAAACACTATAGAAAGAATAGTTCAATAATTACCCAAAATTTGTAAAACCATGTAATTTTCTCGCCCTATCCAATCACGCTAACAAATCGCCTGCATCTGACACATCCAATTTCAATCGACCACATAAAACTTTCGTCTTATTACAGACATTTCAAATGGGCCAGAATAAAAGTATAAAAGTCAAAATATGCACACAAGAACTTTTATCTGCCATTAATTGGAAAGGGCAACAAAAGAAATATTGATTGCCACTTTGCATCGTTAGCGAGAAAACCCAGAGCGAAGCCAGTGTCCAGAATGGATTATGGCCCAAAGGGGAACTGTTGGCCAAAAGCCAGTATCGCATTGATTGTCACCCGTAGACAAGTTTCGATTGCAAATGAGAATCAGCGCGGAGCTAACTACACCCGATAGAAGATTCAAAGCTTCCGACTAATGCCACTGTCAAAATATGCCCATGACTGATGATGGCCAGAGGCCAGTGCATTGACGGGCATATTTCATCTATTGATAGAGGATTTCTGGATTTGGCCAGTCACTCGGCCAGAAAGTCGGCTGAAGTGGGGGCGTAATTAAAGCGAGTGACAGCGGAAATGCCAAGCACAAGGAGATGGATCGCTTTTGGGGGGAGCCCTGAAGTAGAGACGGCGTTGGCGATGTGTTGCTTGGACGGATTTGACGGGTGGCAACGGAAGCGGTTGGTGTGCAGTGTTCGGGCCATGGTAATCATTGGCTAAGTGGATAGGAAATTGAATTTTGTTTGGGGATGGCTTTGAATCGGTAGTGGCCTAAAGCGAAGCGATTTTTCGCTATCTACACAAGATCTCGTTCTTTCTCTCTTAATACTTTTAAAGCTGGTTAATGACACTCCCAATGGACTTTATCACTGTTGACATCAAAGGGTTTGTTGGCGAAAGTTTTGAATGCTCTACAATTATACATTCTTTTTGCACTTCCAATGTGTCAAAGCTTTTATCTCCAGAAGAATTCGCTGATAACTGAGATCTTGCGAATTGGCGCCCTTTGATTTCGATTTTCACTATACTCCTCTTATCACAATACCCGTGAAGATATATTTTTCCGTAAAACTCACATATGATGTGAAGGCGTTATTTCCATTTCCACCAAACTCTTATTGAAATTACAACAATGAATTCGGGGAGATGAAAAAGTGGAACTCTTATTAGAATTTCAAAAATGAAGATGTGCATTTATTCCGTTGCCGTGTTACAGCTTACATTCTGGGCATTGAAATGGACTGTCAGGGTACTGCTCCACCTCTCTGATCCCATCGAAAGCCGATGCACATGAATGCACAGGCCAAAGGACTCCGTTACATTGACTGTGCACCTTTTGTGCTTGAACTTCCTTCCGCATTGAGTCGTCGTCGACACCATCATCCCCAGCACCCTGTTCCTTAGCAGCGTCCTGCGTCCTGCTTCCCGCGTCCTCCGTCCTCCGCTCTCCGTCCTTCATCACCATCGCCAACTTTGACTTTGACTGACGGCATTTGTCAGTGGCAGACACAAAGTAATCATTACTTGGCGCACTTCCGCAGCTGCAGCTTCGGCATCTCCTCGTCGGCCCACTAAGCGTATACTTAATAATAAGAAAATAAGTGCCATGTCAACGTAGGCGTGGTAGAAGGGACTGGTTGGCTTCTTCGCGACGCTCACATGCTAACGAAAAGTGGAAAACGGTGTCAAAGTCACCGACAAGAACAGCACTAGCTGGCTGATGAAAGTTGCAGGGCGAGAAAAGTGGCGGCGATGAGTTGAAAGTGTACGTTGGAACAACACCAACAACGCGACCTGCCAACTCGAGACAAATTGAAGCGTTGTTTCTCTTTATAGGAAGGACCCATGCAGTGGCTTTTGGGGTCGAAAGCGCTTGACAACCAATAAAGTGCTAAAACTAGTTGAGTTTTAGTTCATGAATTCGCAAACAAAAAAGTTGTTGATGCAGCCGATCACGGATGCTTCTAGAATTGTGAGTAAATATATGTCCTTCAATGAAGAATTTAATCATGGGAATTATCCCTTCGTATGTCTTAATCAAAATCAATTATACTTTGCTTAGTTGTGGTCGCAGCTTTTTCAACCCGAAACTAACCTTCCTTTTGCATTTCAAGCCATTTACCTAAGCCTTGCTAACATCCATAGGGTTTTCGCATCATAATCTGATCTATTTTCACTCAGCAAACACGGCTTGGGTATTCCGTACAAAAAGCGTCCAATCAGAAATCACTCAAATGCCCAACAGAAATCCCTAAATTGCTTAAACCACAAGAAAAACAAGCGCCAGAGAATAAAAGAGCACATCATGGGGAGATGACAATGCCAGGCATCGGTTTAACAGTCCTCGAGGCATTTTTTCGGCAAACAGACCGACACTTGGCTGCTCCTTTGGTATCCTTTGTGGTGGCTTCTGCCCTGCGAGTGTTGTAGTTCCTGTGGATCGCCATTCTATGCAAAATGTCGTGTCAAATACAGGACTGAAAAGGGCTAAAAGCGATAGTTAGGATAGCAGGCTACCACGATGCCAGTATACCGACTTGCTGGAATGTGGGGGAAGTCGAATCAAAGCACATTAAGCCAAGAAAGAGGCCTCTGCGCCGTCGGTGGGAAAAATGAAGCTGCAGTTGAAGCAGCGGCAGTAGGAAGCTTACAAAACTGCAGGCTAGAAGTCAAAAAGCAGCATCTACACTGCGAGAAAAGGGGAACATGCAATTAATTTTTTTACCCTATTTACATTACAGCACATTTACTTGCCAGCATGATCGCACTGTTCTTAGTTGAGTCTCAACCGATTTGTTGCGTTAATGACCACACTCAGTTGTGTAATCAGCAAGCTAAACATTATGAAATAATTTTTGTTTCAGTGGAGTCTGGGCTGCTTTGTTGCTTTGTTTGTGCTGGTGCATTTGTCTTTTGGCCTCGCTTTTAATGTGTTTCGTGTGGTGGATTGAGGTGAGCTGCTTGTGTGGTGGCTCGTGTATAGTAGTTTTCCGCAGTTTCTGCTGGTGGCTTCACTTGTTTAATGATAGTTCCACAAAGGCAAATATGCACTCTCTAACACTCGTTTGGCTTTTACTCCGGCCACCAGCCCACTCAACCCCTTGGGCCAAGCCAACAGCATCCTTCTTCTATTTTTTTTTTTCGCGACCAGCAACTGGAGCGCAAAGTCAACAACCAAACAGCCTCGGTTAACGCCCGCAGAAAAGCGGCTGGAGCCCAAAAGAAGGCTAGAAAGGAAAGAACCTGGCCAAACAAAATGCCAAACAAAAAGCCACGCCAAAGTGTCAGGTAAGGAGACATGCGGGGTGCGCAAGGGTGAACCATTTTTTCATAGTGTATTAGCACACGATCGCCAAACAAAAGGTGTTGCATGCGTTTTTGCGGCCAGCTAAATGCATGGAAACGGCATTTGCCACTTGCACCTGCTACATCGCACGAATGTGGAATGTGGTGACTGTACCAAGTTGGTCGAGCAATGCAAAACCAAATGGCTTTGACAGATGACGGTGTGAGAATTTCCACCGGGAACTGCATAGAAGCTACGAGGTCATGTTAGTTTTAACCAAATCAACAGGATTTTCGACGGTTTCCTATGATGTCAAAGACGTACAGTTTGTGCCAGAAATTGCTAGTTTGTGTACGAAGTGTATGAATAATTGAAGGGAGAATTAAAAAGAGTTGTACTAAAGTATTTACCAGACTCAAAGAGGCTATACAATTGTCAATACTTTTAACTGTTACCAAAAATATATGAAAATAATCAAGAATGCTTAAAGATGAGCCCGCATTAATTGAAAAGTCAAAAGGAAAATTGAATGTTAAATCAACGATGCGTGTTTCGATAAAATCTCGGGTGTCAATCAATCATTTCGCTGGCGAGCAAATTTACCTGATCTACAATAAAATTAAAGTTATATTAATACCGACATCCATGCGGTAATGAGATTTTCGAACGTTCGCTGCGACGATTTAAAGGATAATGGTATCGTGTGCTTTTTGGACCAACGAATTCTTAATTATTTTGCATTGTTTGTGCACCATACGTATATCTTTGTATATATGTACATATATATTTTCACCGCTCGGTATTTTCCATTTCGAGTCGGCTTGAGTATCGGATTGCTTCTTAATGTGCAAACAACGTTGCGTATTAAGTGAGGCCCAGGAAAATGGGTGAGCTGGGTGGAAATAGCCGGTGAAAAAACCCT